TTTGGTCTAATAAGTAAAGTGTTATATTATATACAATTATATTATACCGTATATTGTATATATGTTTTGTGTATGAGTGGATGGACACACATATATATATAAAAAAATATTATTACAAATTTCTATCAGTTTTTATGTAAGATTTTATTATCATTACACACACATACATACACACACATGCATACACACATACATACATACACACATATATACACACATACATACACACACATACATACACACACATACATAAACACACATACATACACACACATACATACACACACATACATACACACACATACATACACACACATACATACATACACACACACATAGGACAACCAATCATTATATTAACCTATCGTTGATTGCATTCAATTAATGTCCAATTGTTTTATTTTTTTGTGGTTTTTTTTATATATTATATTATTATCAGTCATTTATTTAGCTATAATAGTTTGTCTATGCTTTTAGCAAATCTATATACAGTATAATAAATAATATAAAGTTATATATTTATATAGTAGGAGTTACACACAACTAATATTATTATATTAGCCATTAATGGTTAAGTGATATATACTGTATATATTTCTGGGAGTATATGTTAGAAATTACTTTAATTATCTAATATTAGTATACAATAGATATAATATACCGTATATACAGTATATAAGTTTTTATACTAAAACTAAATTTATTATAGTTATTAGTAAAATGCAAATTTTAATTTATAACGCTAAGTAAATTATTATGTTTTTGCTAAATTATTATACAATATATACATTAATAATAATAATAATTATAATTAATTTTTATAAACAAAAGTATATAATCTAATTTATAATAATTATTATTATTTGCAGTATTATTATTATTAGTAGTATTATTATTTTTATTAGTATTATTATTATTATTATTATTATAGTAAAAATAAACTTTCTATGAGATGACAACTATAAAATGTGTTCAAATTAATAATAATATCTAATTTTTATACCATCGATGTCTATGTCTCTTTGAAAACCTAAAACTAAAATAAATTAATACTATAATAATAATAATAATAATACAGTAAAGAGAAAATGAAAAATACATGAAAATATTTTTGTGTAATTAATTGATGAGAGAATATTCTGTACTAAACTTTAGGGAAAATATTTTGACAAAAATTTTTCCGTTAAACTAATTTATTAAAACAAAAATTATTATATAAATTATAGATAAACTAATTAGTTGTACTTTAATATATATATATATAAGAGAGTATATATATATACTATATATACACTAATATATATTATACTTATACAACATAAATCAATATTTAAGTTTTTGAATATTTTAATGCATTTTAATTAAATGAATTATTTTTAAATGAAAAATACTTCAACATTAATCTAAATTTTAAATTATTATTTTGAAATGTTTCTGCAAACAATTATAAATTATTTATATATATATATATATATAAACATTTAATATATATATATATATATATATATATATATATATATATAGCTTTTACCCAAAAACTATAATTAAACAAATAATTTTATACAATTATTATCTACTAATAATATTGAATTTTATACTAATTATATACTGTATATATATATATAATTTTTCTAATATTTAAATGCATAATAATAATACTATTTATAAAATTGTGTTTGTAATAAAATTAACATATAATTATGAAAATTATTATAATTATTATTAATTATTAAAAATGTAAATTATCAAATTAGGTAAATAATCAATACAAAAATGTTGTAATTATTATTATTATTACTATATAGTAGTATTGATAATTGAATAAATTTATTTCTATATATAATATTTTTTAAATACTGTAAAAAATAAGTAAAAATATTAGATAATAATACAAATATATTAAATAAAATATTTTTCATATACATTAAAATTTAAATTGAATAAAATATACAATAAAAAAACACAATAAATTATACCTATTTTATATAGGATATAAAATATTGCTAAATTATAAAATAATTTATTTTATATTTTTTTAATATTTACATAAAATAAATCTATTTTTTCTTGAGTTTATATCAAACAAACCATTTAATCGCACAAAACTAATATACAATATATTTGTTTGTTTGAAATTTAAAAAAATAAATGAGAAAAAAATGATAAATTTATTTTTTTTATTAAACAATTTTAATTTTGTAACAAAACAAATACTTGAAATCATTTTCATTGTGTGTTTTTTTTGTTACATTAAACACTAACCAACAAAAAAAATATTTTATAAATTTTTTTTATGCCCTAACCTAACCATAGAGATATAATATATATATATATATTGTTCAGTCAATTGTATGGTTATATTAATTTTTTAATGCCCTATGGGCCCCCTTATGTTATATATATATATAACAATGGCATTATATAATTGTTTTCAATATGCACCGGTAGTTTTTAAACAAAATTATTTATTTTTTTCAAAAAAAAAATTTGTTTCAAATAGTTTTCAATTATATTTGTATAATATGTGATTGTTATGTAATATATATATATATATATATACAATATATATATTTCAATTTGAATTCAAAGAATAACAAAAATAAATAATAAAACTATTTAAATATTAAAATTTGTTTTCTATTTGTAAATATTTAATATTTATTTTTTTTTGAAAAATATCTGTTTGTTTGCAAATAACTTATAATAAGATTTTTTTTAGGAATAAATAGATTCAACTAAAAAATATATTGGATATATTACAACAACTATTCAAATAACTAAATAAATAAATACATTAATTCCTAGAAAATTATTTTACTAATTATTATTATTATTTGTTTGTTTTAAAAAAATAGTAAAATTAAATTAGTACAATTAGTATATACAGTATATATATATATATAACAAATATTACTAAAAATATTATTATACCACTACTACTACTACTACTACTACTACTACAATCCTAAGATACAGGCGCTCTCATCACTATATTTAGTACAATTCGGTAGAAGCCGGGTCCTACTACTGATAGCCCTGAGCCCGGGTTTGTCATTATTCAAACAGACATCAACTCTATCATCCCTATCATCATTGGCTGTTAGACGACTTAATCGGGGGGTCAATTGGCGACCAGTTTTCCGACCAACTCAAACTCAACAGTCCCATAGCCTGTATATATGAGATACCATTCCCGTACAACACACACACACTTAGAGWCACACAAAAACATATGGGTTTTTTTGGAGTACACTTTAAAACTCACAAATAACTATTAACTKTAAAGTACTTTACAATATATACTATTTTTTAAAAAAAAAATTGAAAGTATATATCATTTTATTTTTGATAGTACTGTTAGCCACACACACACACACACACACACACACACACACACACACACACACACACACACACACACACACACACACACACACACACACACACACACACACACACACACACACACACACACACACACACACACACACACACACACACACACACACACACACACACACACACACACACACACACACACACACACACACACACACACACACACACACACACACACACACACACACACACACACACACACACACACACACACACACACACACACACACACACACACACACACACACACACACACACACACACACACAGAGAGACAAAATATATCACTATCTATTAAATATAAATATATATAGTAGTTATATAASTTATATGTAAGCACTGGGCATTTTTTAGATGATGGGGAAAGTTATGTGCTTGAAAAATCATTAGTAAATATATATATATATAAGTTATATATATATATTGTACAGTATGTCTATGTGTGTGAATAGTGTCATCCCTTTTCTTGTCAAAGCTAACCATTAATTTCTTCAAATAATAATAATAATGAAAAAAAGTGATAATAAATTTCAAGAAGTTTTTTATGGTTTTTTAATTCTTGAATGATCTCTCTCTCTCTCTCTCACTCACTCACTCACTCACTCACTAACTCACTCACTCACTCACTCACTCACTCACTCACTCACTCACTCACTCACTCACTCACTCACTCACTCACTCACTCACTCACTCACTCACTCACTCACTCACTCACTCACTCACTCACTCACTCACTCACTCACTCACTCACTCACTCACTCACTCACTCACTCACTCACTCACCCACCCACTAATCCACACCCACTTTATATCTCTAACAACTACTACTACAACAACAACATCAGGTGATTGAATAGTAAACTATTTTATTAAACATTAGATCCATTCATCTGAATGTTAAATAATTTTTTATCCAAAAAAATCAATCAATTAAATAAATATTAAACAAAAAAATATTAAATAATTTATTTTATTATTATTTTTTTTAAATAGATATATTATAGCACTTTTTATTTATTAATTATTATTTGATAACTATTGATAACTATTGCAATTAACAGACAATTTGATGATTGAATAATAAAAAATTTTTAAATTAACAAAAATTATTGCAATCATTATGTAAATAATTATTTAATAATGTTATGCAATATATTATCATTTATATTAAAAAAAAAGTTTTTCAAAAACAATTTTTTCAGATAACAAAAAAATACAACAAATAATTGTATTATTTTTTTTAAATAAAAAACAGATTAATAGAAAAAATATAAATCAATAAAAATAATAGTAAATCTACGATAAGTTTAATGAAGTTTTCATTTTGGACCTAATAATCTAATAACTTAACTAATAATTAATAATTAAATTAAATTAATTAAATAAATATCGATATATTTATGTTATATATATATATATAAATATTTGATATATAAATATCGGTTCACAATTTGATTATTAATCAATCAATCAGTCAATCAGTCAATCAATCAATAATACCCATTGGATATAACAATAAATCAATATATATATATATAAAGTTATATTCAATTGTATAATCCAATTGAAACAAACAAACAAACAAACAAAACAATTAACTATAAATAATTAAAAAATAAAATAATTAAAAAAATCATTGAATCCTAATAAGGCCTTCCCGTTGTTGACCGCCACCTATACTCCAGGCCAGCGACCGACCATTGGTCAGTACGTGACCGGTCAGCTGTGGCGGTAATTCAATGTTTACTACTGTTGTACTCAATGCTTGATGTTGTTGTTGTTGCGGTTGCGGTTGTTGTCCACCCGGTTCAGGGAATGGTATCACAGTTATCGCTGTTGTCGGCAAAGTGTTGGTCAAACTAAGTACTTCCTGTACACAACTGTCCAGTCGAAGACATTCGCTAACCGAAAAACTCAATGTTCGACAAACAGATCGACTCTGGTTACCACTGTTGTCCCTATAAGTTACGGTAAACTGGACGTCATAGCGGTCGGAACTGGTCGACGGCATCTGTATTTTGAACATTGTTTCCGAGTGGTCGCCGTCAAACACGATGGCCATTGTCTGTGTCCTCGCATTCGTAATCACTGAACTATTGTTGTTATCACTGTTTAGTAGGATTGCATTTGTAGTCAATCGTACCGATGATGGTCTCCATATCGTCGCCGCCGCCGATGTTTCGCCAATAGATAGCTTGAGTAGCAGTTCGATGATCTCATTGGTGTATACGGGCAACGACGGTGACGCTGACCACTGTTCTAACGATTCGTTTTTAAATCTCAGTTCCATATGAATCAATGGTAATGTCTTTATGGCCCGAAATCGGAGACCAGCTCTTTGTTTATCACTGAACGGACACCTGATGTCTACGATATCGTCGCACTTGTAGTCGACGCCCAATATATCGAACTCGCATTCGGTATTAGCTTTGATCGACAATTGAATCCAAATCGGATCGTTGGTGTCCAATGTTGTCGTTATGGCCGGACAGTCGATAACAGCGGCGGTAACATCGGCTACTGCGGTCGCACTGTTAGTATTAGTACCGGTAGTATAAAAGCACAGTCGATGTAATACATAGGCAAACGGTGTGGTCAAACACAGCCGAAAAACAATCTCTTCGCCCAAAAAACACAGATTGCGATCCTTTTTGGTGACAACCGAATTGTTGGTCGGCTCGTAGCCGACGGAATGTATGAACGGTATGTCTAAGTAGTGGATACTGTCGGCTGCGGAGGAGGCGGCGGCGGCACTCGAGGAAGTAGTTTTGGCCATAGAATTATTATCGGCGATCAGTTCGAAATCTTTTTTGATTTCGCGTATAAATTCGTGAAAAAACGGTTCTTTTCGGGCATTAATACGGAACAGTTCGAGACCCGATCGTCGATAGTGGCCATACAGGGCTGGATTTGTATTGTAAATATTCAGATACAATCGGCCGACAGTTAGGCTAACAAAATCGGACGCATCCGTCCACTGGCTGGTCGGATACTGTCGATAGGCTGCCAGTGCATAATGTTTGAGATAACATTTGTTGAAACGATGACCGGCCAGTACGTAGTGAAAGGCAGCCTTACGCTGTCGGGAACCGGCAGCCAGAAAGCACAGCGAGGCCTGTTCGAGAAACAATGCCGACCGCAGTTCACTGTCATCGCCGGTCATATGAATGAACAGTTTGGCCGCTTCGTTCGGCCACTGCTGGCGCAAGGCTTCAGTGGCCAGTATGGTTGCACGGGTAGCGTACGGCATGGCCGGTAGGCCACAGCTATCCGCATAGCAGGTAATCGATTGTTCGAAATAATGTTTCTGAAAACGTTGGGTAAAATACGAGGCAATAGCTGAGGCTTCGGTAGCACCGGCATAGTATAGTACAGCATTTTCGGCCTGGTAGTCTTTTTTGGCCTGATAGTACGATTGGTAGGCCAGTTCGTACATTGTCAACGACATGGCCAGATCGCCTAGTTTTCGCTGCTGCATTTCGGGTGCTTCGGGCGAATAGATTATCAACGGTGGACTCGAACCGGCTGATCCCGATCCTCCCGACGCTAGCGATGATGACGAACCAGATTTACCAGGACTACCAATGGTCGACGAACTCATGGCGCCGATCATCGATTTGGTCAGATTGAACATTGATTTACGGAAACCTTTACGCTGAGCAATGGCATCGCCGAGTAGTTTGATATGTTTTTCCGACCACGGTACCAGTGTTTTTGTTACAAACTCTTTGAGCATATCCGAGATAATGGTGGCCACTGCTGGCGAGTATCGGTTGTTGGCCATTGATCGACCGGTGCCGGCAGCCGTCGGTTTGATCAACATTTGTAGATAGCGTTGGCTTAGATCTTGTAAACTCAAGCTCTGTATTGAATTAGTTAGACTCTGATCGGATGAGCCGCTGCTCAGTGTTGTCTGATTATTGCTGTTCGTGTGTCTCAGTGACAGTACCGTAGCGTTCAATGGGTCGACACTACTACTACTGGTGCCGCCAATAGGCGAATCGGTACGCGAAGACGATAAGTGATTGCAATTCTCACTCGAGTCATATCTGTTCATCATTGGTGGCAACTGTTGTTGTTGTTGCTGTTGATGATGACTATTATTATTATCACAGAAAACCTCGTCATCGGCGGCAGCGATGATACCATTATCGCCACCCATACTACTACTGGCCGCCGGCGGTGACAACAGTTGACTGTCAATGTGTAGCCAATAGGAGTTGGGATAAATGGATTGCAATTCACGAAACAGTAGAGCTTTTGGCGAATTAAACGATTGGTGTGTATCTAATGATTGTTCACTTAAGACAATATAATAGCGAACAAAATCCGGTTGAATCCATCGGATCCATGACATCTGTTTCAACTGTAATGGCCATCAAAATAGACAATAATATAGTATTTTTTCAATTTAGTTATCAATTGGGTATTCAAATCAATACCTGAGTGATAAACGTGGCGAACAAATCCTTAAAGTTGTCCAACTCTTCATCGGTAATGACAAAAAAGACGCCAAAGTTGGCACCGATAAAGTCGTGTTCCGATTGGTCAATGGTATCGATAAACAATTGTTTCCAGCGGTCATACCACGGTGTAGTAGTAGTAGTAGTGGTGGTCTGTCCACCTCCGACGGTAGCGGCGGACGAGTCAGAGTCGGCGGCAACAGTGGGTGACATATGACCGATCAGATCCATCTGAAGTTTGCGCAACTGTTCGGGCTTTGGACGCGACTTCAATGTTTGCCAATCGTTAAACTTGAACCGCAAACTATGCAATGGATAGGCATTGTGGCCGTAAAGGTCGCGTATGGTCACTATCGGTAGATAAGTAAGTGAGTAATAAATGAAGACAGTGTGTGTGTGCGGTGACCACTACTTACGGTTAAGCTTCTGGACAACCGAACCGAAATGGTTTAGTACCGACTCGACCGTGTCGTCAAATCGTCGGCGCGACCACTGTTGGCCGCGTTCGGTAACAAACAGTACAAAATGTGTGGCAAATACTTTGGCCACCAGATCGGCAAACGTATCCGTCGATTGTTGTCCAGTTGTTGATGTTGTTGTCCATCGATTAGTGGCCGGCATTTTGCTGATGTTGTTGTTGTCCTCCGCGCGGCTAAACTGACAATCAAATCAATTGTTGCTTTTTTTTGTTTGTTTTTTATTATTGTTATAACTATTAATATATTATTATTATTATTATTAACTATTATTAATTAAATTAAATTAAAATACATTATTATTATTAGTTATTATTATTATTATTATTGCATTCAATTAATTCACAATAAAATTGATTTATTATTATTATTATTGAATCATATTTTTATAGATTAAATAAATAAATAAATAAATATTAATAAATAATAATAAACATTAAATATGTTATACTGTATGTGTTGTTATTGTTATGATGTGTTCAGTGATTTAAGTGTATATACATAAATGTACAGTCAAACAAATTTACTGGTAAATAATATATATTAGTATTGGATACGTTAGATACAGTACTTTATGGGTGACTCTCTAGTATAACAATATACATGTACATACATAAATAACGTTTTAAATTAAACTAACTTAAATATGGTTATTAAATATTGTTTAATTATATAATTTTTATAATTGTTAATAAATTGTTTTTTTGTTGTTGTTGCCATTATTACATTGACTATTATTATTATAGTAAAATTTTATTATTATTATTATTATTATAAAATAAAAATTAAATAATTATTAACTAATATATTATTGAGTCTATTTCTATTAAGTTATATTTGGAAATAAAATATTTTTACTATTAACTTTCTAGATTTACAATAACATACACACATATAGACACACACACACACACACACACACACACACACACACACACACACATACATACATACACACTCATATATATAGACACACACACATACATACATATATACACACACATATATATATATAGACACACATACACACATACACACATACACACATACACACATACACACATACACACATACACACATACACACATACACACATACACACATACACACATACACACATACACACATACACACATACACACATACACACATACACACATACACACATACACACATACACACATACACACATACACACATACACACATACACACATACACACATACACACATACACACATACACACATACACACATACACACATACACACATACACACATACACACATACACACATACACACATACACACATACACACATACACACATACACACATACACACATACACACATACACACATACACACATACACACATACACACATACACACACAATTTCTAAAAAAATTATTTGCTTCTCTATCTAAATCATCAAGGTTGCTTAATTATTAATATAATTAATTACATTTTTTTATTATATTTTATATTATTTATTGAATTTTAAACATTTATTGCTTATTAAATAAATAAATTTTCAATTTTTTAAATAATTTAATAGATTTTTAATTTTTTTTTTTTTGGTAATAACACACAGACACACATAATTATAATTTTATAATTTTTTATTCATTTTTTTTTTTTGATTACATATTGTATATAAATTGTTAAATAATTAATTTTGTTAAATTGTTTTTTAAAACTTAATTATAATTATAAATAAATTATAACAATAAGTAAAATATTTAATGAATGCCAATTGCAAATACAATGTTTATTATTTAAATTTAATAATTAATTAATATAGCAGTGTTAAATTTACATAATAATAATAACAGTTACTATACATAAAATGTTATTTGATTAAAATTGTCAAGGTAATTTTTATTTATATAAACAATTAACTAATAATATTTATATATATATAATAATAATAATTATAACATTTTTATTATTGATTATATTGTAATTACATTAATGTATTAGAATTGTTTAAAACTTTATATATATTGTGTTAAAATTATTAAACATTAAATACTAATTATTATTATTATTATTTTGTTTAGTTTATATGTAATTATATATAAAAAAAAATTTGGTAGTGAATTGTCATTAATCAATAGACAATAAACATTAAAAATTATTTATACTCTGAAATATGTGTAACATTTAAAAGTTACAGTTTTTTTTAACATTAACAATAATTAATTAAATATTAATTAAATTAAGAAAAATTATAAAATATAATAACATACTATCAATTACTGTACATTGATTAACTAATAATGATTTAAAAAAAAATTATATATTATTAAGATTATCAAACAAAAAATAATCAAAAAAAATTAATATCAAAAATAATCATTTAAATAATAATTGTATAATAATTACAATAATTATAATATTATAACATAATTATATAAATTATATAAAACAATTTAAAGTATACAATATCAATATAATTTTAACTATTTGCTAATAACTTAAAATTAAACAATTATAGAAAATTTTGTTAAAGTAAAATTAAATACTAAAATAATTAACTTAAAATTATAATTAACACACATATAAATATTTTTTGTTTGTTTAAATATATTAGTTTAATATAACAATTTATCTTTATTATCATCCAATATCCTATTGTTGTTATTATTATTATTATTATTGCCAATAAATCTACGTTTGAAACGTATGCCCTCACGTGCACGCAAACAATCGGCGTATATACCAAAAATATTATCCATATTTGACTGATTTATTGTGGTTAGGTCCTCAATTTGTTCTAGGTTAAATATAATTGTATTTTTTAAAAAAAAATTATAAAATAATGTTAATAATAAAACTAATTATATATTATATAATGTAATTAATATATTTTATATTTAAAAAAAAAACTTTATTTTATATTATATTTATATTATTTTATATACTATGATTAGTCAGTATAATATTCAATAAAAATTAAATTAAATTAAAAAACTAATAATATACAGTAAATATACTTAAAAAATATTAATTAATTAATTTAAATATGAAAATAATCATAAATATAGATTTTAGTTTTATTTCATATCTAATATTTTATTTATTTTTAAAAAAATTTAATTTATATATAAATTATTTTTTCTAAAAATACAATTATATAAAAATTATTTTATTTTAAAAAATACAATTATATATAAATTATTTTTTAAAAAAATACAATTATATAAAAATTATTTTATTTTTAAAAATACAATTATATATATAAATTATTTTTAAAAAAATACAATTATATATAAATTACTTTTTAAAAAAAATACAATTATATATAAATTAATTTTTTTAAATATTTTAATTTACCCTGAATATCTCCAAACTTTTCCAATGTATTAATTAATTCAAAACATTCAGTTTTAGTGGGTATCGACTCGACAACAACAACAACAACAATACAAACAATAACTATAATATATAGTATTGACAATGATTTTGATAATTTAATTGTTTTATTCATTATTACTATAATTATTATCTAATATTTTTTTTTTTAAATACTACTATTCAAACAACAATAACACACTTAAGCAAAAAAAAAATACGGAAAAAATATTTTTATGTTTATATATATATACTGTATATACAGTACAATAATTTGTTAATTTATTTGACAGCTTATTGCTAATTATTAATAGTTTTATGGTATAGTGATTGAAAATTTGTTACTATTATTATTATTATTAAATATTTTATTTTAAATGATTAAAATGAAAATTATTTTATGCTATATTTCTCGGAATTAGATAGATATATATATAAGCTATATATTTATATATATATATAAACTTATATTATATAATTTTATGAGCACTGGTAGGTTTCAAACTTTCAAACCGATATGATGATAAACAAGTTTACAAATAAATTAATGCACTTAATAATTTAGTAAATATATATATATATATATATATATACTGTATATAGATATACGGATATATATATGATATAATATATATATATATATATATATATTTATTTTTAGTTTTATTTAGTATTTAATCCCGAGAGTAGTTATGATCCATATATATATATATATACTGTATTATCAAATAATATTTTAATATATGATATAATTAATACATACATAATTTATTTTTAAAAATTATTTTTAAAAAACAGTAATATACCTACTAATATATTTTTCTATTAATAGTAGTTTCAGTGCAAATTAAATTACATATACTTTATATATATATATAACTTAATATAGATAATAATTTTAAAAACTTATTTTTAATTTTTTTTTAATTTATGCATATTTACATGTTTATCGTTATTATTATTATCTAAAAGCTCAATTAGTTTTCCATATAATTACAATTATATATATATATATATTTATTTAATGGGATAAGCCAGGTAGTTTCAATTGACAAATATAGGGTTGGTAGTGGTGGTTACATGCAATAACTACATGTATCTTTAGTGTAATTTTTTAAATGTTATTTACATTAAACAGTATTAACGATACTTAATATTTTATTTAATATTATTATTTTATTTATTATGCTATTATAGGGTATAATATACCAGTAGATATGTATATATATATATATATGATATATTGATAATCTAGTCTACTAGAATTATTATTATTATTATTATTAATATTATAGCTTTTAATACACAATTATTTATCATATAATAAATCAATTTATTATTATTATTATTATTATTATTATTATTTCTCAGAAATACAAGTATCAGCCACTGGTTTATAAGTTATTACTAATAAATACCTTATTATTATTACAGTATATATATCATATAAATTTATATAAATATTAATATCAATAAAACTAATTTATGTATAAAAATCTTGAAATTTGCATTTCTTTCATCAATTAATTAAGTAATTTTAAACTGTTTTTCTTAAAATATTTAAATTTTAAACTGTTTTTCTCTAAATAATTTAAATTTAAACATTTTTATATATATAATTTAAATAAATTATTAGTCTAAAAACATTTTTGTCAATAAATCTCCAATGTATTGATGCAAAAATTATATATATATATAAAAATTATATTAACGTAATCAGTGCATCAATGATCTTATAGCATAAATTTATTATATAATAAATAAATTTATCTATATAAAATTAAGTAATATTATCAAGGGGAAATTACTTTTTAAAAATCTGTTATTTTTATACATATATTATAAATAATTTAAAATATTTTTTTTTCAATAATTTAATGCTTATAATGTTTATTTTTGTGATAAACGATAAATTATTGCAGTATTTAATTATTATATAATTATTTGATTGATTTAAAAAATATTGTATAATGTATTTATTAAAAATAAATTAGATTAAATTAATTAAATAAATAAATTAATTAATTAAAAAAATCAAACATTATTATGATATATTTTTTTATTTAGTTAAAAAATATATATTATTATCTGTATAATAATAATTATTATTATATAATAAATAAACTAAATTGTTGAAAATATATATATTATTTAGTTTTTTAATAATTTACTATTTAATACTATATTATCATTTTATAAAGTTATATTGATAAATATAAATATTTTAAGTTACAAATAAAATTAGTTTACTATAAATTGATAAATGAACTTGCTAAATGACATAAATTAAAAATCATTATTAATAAAATTAATTAAAAAATTTTTAAGAGTAATGTTACGATAAATTTATTATAAAATAAATACAATTAAATTTTAACAATCTAGATTAAATTTATGTAAATAATTTTTAATTTTGTTTATACCTTAATGTAGATTACGTTAAATTTTAAGTATATGTTTTTTAAAAATATATATATACAGTATATATATATATAAATTACAATAAATTACAAATTATTTAAATAATAATATTTATATTTAAAATATATATAATATGGTTAATAAATTGTGTATATTTTATTATTGAGTATTTAATTTAAATGTTTGCTTATATTTCTAGTTAATAAAAAAGTATAGACTATAATTGGTATATACAGTATAAACGTTAGCTTTGCAAATGTAATTAATATGTTTAACTAAATAAAAAAAAATGTTAATTAAAAAATTTGCTAAATACTAAAAAAAAAATATTAACAGTTGTAAAATGAATGAATTAATTAAATAAAAAAAATTGAAATAACAAAAAATAACAAAATATGGTTTATACACGACATAATAGTGAGAAACACAATACAGTTATATAATAATAATAATAATAATACAGTAATTTATTTATATAAAAAAAATTTAAACAACAACAACAAAAAATGCCTAAAACATCACTAATTATTATTGTCATTATAACCATAGTATACATGTTTTTCGGTAAATATAACTAAATTTATTATTAAATTTATATATATATATATATATATGTGTGTGAATTGGCAATTAGTATGCAAAACTTATGTAACCTTTTTATTATATTGTTATTGTTATTATTATTATCTAACTATATTAGTAACGGGTATCGATAGTCGGACCAAGTTTCCCGATTCAACTACTAAGGCAGTACTAGACGATTGTCTACAATATACAAACACCGTACGGGCCAAACATGGCTCACCTAAAGTCAAATATACCGCTGATGTTAGTATTGGTTTTAATATATATATATATATATTGTATATAAAAGCTAATATTTAAATAATAATAATAATAATACTTTACTTATTATACTAGTTAGAAAACTATCTATTCATTATTATTTTTTAATTTTATATATATATATCTAATTGGCATATATGCTTATAATATTACACTGTGTAATACATTACAATTTACACATTACTTTAACAAGTATCAATAATTATTATTATATATAATTAATCTAGATTTATATATATATATATATATATATATAATTATGACTACCAATAGTTACACGAATAAAAACTATTTATCTAATCAGCAAAAAAAAATTTCAAATTATTAATATCTAACTGTAATCTAACCATTAATTAAGTAATTAATTTCTCTATTAATTTAAATTTTAAATATTATATATTTCGATAATAACTCAACGATTTTACACTTAATATATATATATATATATATATATATATATATATATATATAAGTAGTAAAAAATTTATATAACATTTACAATCTATATATATATATATATCTAATAAAAATACAATATATTTATTCAATTAAATCCTCTCTCTCTCTCTCTCTCTCTCTCTCTCTCTCTCTCTCTCTCTCTCTCTCTCTCTCTCTCTCTGTAGATTAAAATTTCAAAATGTTATGTGAATTACTTAATATTAATAATATATTTAAATTATTTTAATTATAATTATTATTTATTAGCTAAATAAATACGCTAAGGAAAGGTGTGCATTCATGTCTGAGGGAACGGGTTTGGCTAACAAACATAAAAACTTAAGGGAAGACGTCGGCGAAAATATATACCGAGCTGTGGGTCAGTAGTAGTCAACCAAATCAGACAATGAATCAATTATTAGTTTATTATAACAATTTTTGTTTGTTTTAAAATTTTATCATCATATATATATATATTTTTAATATATATATATATATATAGGCGGCCAAAAAGTGCAGGCATGTAAACACGCCATCAAAAATTGGTAATTATTAAAAAATAAAATAAAACACAAACAAACAATTAAAAACTAATTCAATTAATTAATTTTGTTTATCTCTCTCTCTCTCTCTCTATCTATCTATCTATCTATCTATCTATCTATCTATCTATCTATCTATCTATCTATCTATCTATCTATCTCTCTCTCTCTCTATCTATCTATCTATCTATCTATCTATCTATCTATCTATCTATCTATCTATCTATCTATCTATCTATCTATCTATCTATCTATCTATCTATCTATCTATCTATCTATCTATCTATCTATCTATCTATCTATCTATCTATCTATCTATCTATCTATCTATCTATCTATCTATCTATCTATCTATCTATCTATCTATCTATCTATCTATCTATCTATCTATCTATCTATCTATCTATCTATCTATCTATCTATCTATCTATCTATCTATCTATCTATCTATCTATCTATCTATCTATCTATCTCACACACAATTGCTATGCACCTGTATGTTAAATATTTATGATGGTGGCGGATATTTGAATGGTTGAATGGATGGACAGGTATTCCGAGATACAGTTCTACGATTTCAAAAAAGCCGTATTTGTACCGAAAGCCGGCCACTTTACCCAATTGATTTGGGCCGAAAGTACCGAAATGGGCTGCTGTCGGTCAATGTTGGCACCGGATTCAAAAAAACCTAACCGTGTTGAACTATATATTGTTTGTATATACAAAGTGGCCGGTAATGTCAAGGGAGAGTATGCTAAAATGGTTAAGAAACCTAAATAATAATAATAATAATATTATATAACCTAATTAGGTAAGGGGTGGGTGAGCAGTTAAGTGGGGGAGGGGTAGATTGAATGGATTGGTTATATATATATATATATATATATATATATATATATATATATATATATATATTATATATATATATATGGGTGTGAAAATGTTTAGATTATATATAATAATATAATTATTTTTATAAAAATTTAAATTACAATTTTTTTAATTAAATATTTAATTTTGTTTTTATATTATGTTTTTTTAATTGTATGTTAATATCATTATTTTATTTTAAACAAAAAAAATAATATTATCTTTATAAAATATTTTATTATTGCATTAATCTATATTTATTTTAAATATTTTAGTTATATTTTAATACATTATTTGTTTTTAATTTTCTAGTTGTATTGATATTAATGATTATTATAAACTTTTGATACTAATAAAAATTTTTATAATTTTTTTTTATTATCATTATGTTGTAAATACTAAAATGTTTTTCTAAAAAAAACAAAAAATTAATTAAATTATTATATCATATTTGTATCAAAATTTATTTAATTTAAACATTTAAACTGTAATTTTGCTTAATTATCATCAAAAAAAAAATAAAAATAAATAAATAACTTGTAATTTAAAAAACTTTAATAATTATATTTTATTTATTTATTTTTAATTAATTACTATTAGTTTTTGTGTTGTACACACAAACACATACAACAATTATATAATAGTATATATTAACTACCGTATCGTTGGCCGGGAATCGGGTGGACAAACCGTGATTATGATTGAGCTAACCGTACCTCAAAAAAAATGGTAAAACCATTGAAAGTTAGAGTAGGAGGAGGAGGAGGACTGACACCTATTTACTAAACATACAAAAGTCTTTTAATAATTAGTTTTAATTACAGTAATAAGTGTTTGTTATAATAATATTAATAATAATTGAAATAATATAATAATTATATCAAATAATAATTAGTAATAATTACTAATAACTAATAAACATTTTTTTTATTTAATTAAATTATTAATACTTTTATTGATTGGAAAAAAATTAAATTAAAATTAAAAATAAAAACAAATGAAAAAACAATTATCTATTCATTTCTATGAAGACTTTGGTGTCTTAGTTGTTGTCTTCTTCTTCTTTATCTTCTTCTTCTTCATTGACTTTTCAGTCGTCAGTATCGACGATAGCTTAGGTATTGTTGTTGTTGTTTTTAGTGATGATGACGATGTCTTCAGCAGCAACGATGGAACTATAGGTTTATCATTGGATAGATCGTTGGCCGCACCAATCAGATCGGCACTGCCCATAAACACTGGCCKACCSGGTAGGTCAGGTACAGCTGTGTGTGTGTGAGTGTGTGTGTGATATAGACATTATTATTAGTCACCCACTAGTAGTAGTGGTAGTAGTAATACATACCGTCTTCGGTAGTAGTGGTCTCGTCGGGGAAGCATTCGAGAAACCGTTTGCGAGCACCGGCACAATACTTGTCCACTGTTGTGTGTTTGTGTGTGTCGGTGTCGGTGTAGAGGTTTGGTAGGGCGGGGGAGGGATGGTGGGAGGGAAAGGTAGGCACAAAAAAAATAAAACAGTATTAGACAAACCAAACTAACCGTCCGTCTACTATACTACTATACTAACCGTCATCGCCGTCCCAACACATTTTGACGGCTATAGCGCTGCCTTCGCAGTCGATTTCGGTTTCGGCACATTTTGCGGCCAAATTTTCCTTAACTTTAGAGCAATATTCCTTCTTTTGTTTGGCCTCTGGAGACTGATCTTCTTCAGTAGTCGCTGAAGAAGTGCTGGTCAGTGATGTTTCTGTTGTTGTTGTGGTCGTAGTTGTCTTCTTCTTACGTCGTCTTCGTTTTTTTGTTGAACTTTCCGCTTCCGGTACTAAAGTTGTTGTTGTCATCGTTGGTGTTGTTGTCGTAGATCCAAACTTTTCTTCCACACAATATTTGCTAGCATTCTTCAATGTTACGCAATCCATGGCATCGACTTTTTTCGGATCCCTTTCCAGACCGGCCAACTCTACCTCGTCCTCCGGTGCCGGTGTGGTCGTTGTTGTCGGAAAGCATTCCTGGTGTTTGCGGCGAATTTCTTCGCAATTCGGATCGCCAGCCGATTTCGGCTGACCATCGGCTGCTACTGAGGCAGCATCGGTGTCGGTGCTGGCGGCAGTGGTTGTTGCACCGGCGCCATCGGTGGCAGCAGTAGTCGTATCTCCTTTATCTTTACCACCGCTATCTTCTCCATCTCCACCACTACTACTACTACTACTAGTAGTACCATCACTACTACCACCACCATCACTACTAGTAGTAGTACTGCTAATACATTGCTTAATCTTATCGGCGGCCAACTCGCAGGTCAACTCAGTGGTTGTTTCGGGTTCGGGAGTTGTAGTCGGTTCGGGAGTTGTAGTCGGTTCAGGAGTTGTAGTCGGTTCAGGAGTTGTAGTCGGTTCGGGAGTTGTAGTCGGTTCGGGAGTTGTAGTCGGTTCGGGAGTTGTAGTCGTTTTTTCTTTCTCGGGCGGTGGCGGAACCTCTTCCATCTCCGATGTGGTCTCTGGTGGCGCCGTCGATGTTGTCTTTTCCTTCTCAGGCGGTGGCGGAACCTCTTCCATCTCCGATGTGGTTTCCGGTGGCGCCGTCGATGTTGTCTTTTCCTTCTCAGGCGGTGGCGGTACCTCTTCCATCTCGGATGTGGTTTCGGGCGGCGCTGTTGTAGTTTCGTCGCACTTTTCCCTAACATGTTTGGCCACTTTGTCGCAAATTTCTTGTTTAGCCGATTGCATTATAGCCGACATTGTCGACGCAACAGGATTTTCATTGTCAGCCGAAGCCGAGTCTGCAGTAGTAGCACCGCTATCGCCAGATCCACCATCAGCGTCACTGGTGGTAGTACTATCACCACCACTACCGCTACCATCACCTGATGATCCGGGTATCGATGTGGCCAACGATGCCAACGCCGACGATGACATTTCCTGACAATATTTCGACGCATTCTTCAATTGTTCGCAATCCATGGCTTCGATCTTTTCCCTGTCCATCGGTGCCGGTTCGGCCTCTGGTGTCGGCGTAGTAGTTGTCGATCCGGGAAAACATTCGGTAAATTTTCGTTTCAAACTATTGGCCGAACAAATGATTCGCTGAATGTTTGCACAGTAGTTGTTGTCTGAAATACGGTAACACATAATAAAAAAAAACGGACAGTTAGTTAGCCAATCAATCGGTTAGACTTACCGTCCATTGGTTCGCAGGCCACTCCATCTGTATTGGCCGCACAGGTAGCCGGTGACGGCGACGTTACGTCATTACATTTTTTACCGATTTCAGCTTCAACTTCGGCGCATCGGGCCTTATTGGCGGCAACTTTCTTAGCCGATAACATACCCGCAGATTCAGTGGCCGACTTGGAACAGGCCGTAGATTCTGTTTTGAGTTTATCGCAGTCCATGTCCTTAACCCGTTCAAGTCCTGCCGACTCTTCCTCGTCGGGTGGATCGCCGGTAGTCGAGGTCGCCGTAAAACTTTCAAATACTTCTTCCAGAGCCGGATTGATGGCGAAAACAGTGGTAACGGCTGTCAGTGCCAGCACTGGTATATAAATATATACACAAAAAAAATATATATATATATTAACAATATATTAATTAGTTAATTGATATTATTTTAAATAATTAACGATATATTACCTGAAATTATTGTTAATAATATTAACAATAGTATCCTATTTGTTGTCATCATTAGTTAATTTTTTTATTTATTTTTTTTTTGACAATGTTTAATAAATATTATTTTTTATACTAACAAAAAAATTTAATTTAATTATCATAAATTAATATATAAATAAATCACCATGCACAATTTAGATAAATTGTTTTTTTAGCTATATTGTACACATTTTTGGTCAACATTTTTTTTAGTTGCCATGTTTTTTTGTTGTTGGATTGGCAAACAAAATAAAACTAATTTTCTAACCATTTTTTATTTTATTTTAGTAATTATTATTATTATTATTTTTAGTATACAGTAGACATTTTAATTAAGTTATTATACTATAACTAACATTATATAATATTGTTAAAAATTTAATACATATGTTTTATTATAAATTGAAGACATTTTTTTACAGTATATAATTTATAATACTATATATTTATTAAAAACTATAAATTTTTCTGATATTAGACTATACTATACTAATTAAAAAATAAAATGATACTGAGCATAATAATGATAATAACAATATGTTTATTGACTATCGACTAATTTAAATCAAAATAATAATCAAAATAATTAAATTATATTAAACAGAATAATTTTAAAGTTTATAAAAATTAAGAATTATTTAATTGATATAAATTAATGTAAAATAAAAAACAAATAAAATAATAATAATATACAATAATATACAATAATAATATATAACAATTAAAATTAAACGAATGTTGTAATAAAAAAAATTTTTGACAATTAATTTCAATTTTGTGAAATCAATTTCAATAATATTAATTTTACTAATAATTTTCAATAGAAATATTTTTAAATACAATTAAGCACAATATAATTGTTTATAAATTTTATTTTTTTAAATAATTCATTTTATGGTATACAATATAAATTTGTTTTATTATTATTGTGAATAAATAGTATTTATTAAATACTCATAAAAGACAACAAATGGTTTTCATTGTATTTAAAAAATAATATCAAAATAAATAACAAAACTATATAACTATAGTTATTGATAAAAATTTATCGTTTCATTAAATTTATATTTAAAAAAAACACAGTTATTTGTATCAGATAAATTCAAATAAATATATAAAAAAAATTATTTATTTCAAATATAACATTATATTTATAATCTACGAATCAATAGTTTAATTATTACACCTATAGATTAATTTATTATTTTTAAAATTGTGTTAATATGTGTTTGAAAATAGTAGATAAAAGTTTTTTGTTAAATAAATTTTTGTTTTTGTTTTTAAAACATAAACTATAGTAAAATTAAATTCATTTATATATATATATATATATATATATATATATATATATATATATACAGTATATCAATGAATTACTACAACTGTTTAGTCAAATCTCTATTACATCCCTGTCCTTAATCTAACCATTATATAAATGAATGAAATAATTATGATAAACAATAGAAATGCTAATACAATGACTATACAAGCGATCACTAAATAATTGTGGGAATCGTTGTTTGGTTTTGATGTTATCATTGAACAGTCAATCAATGTTTTCAAGTGTTGAGGTTTACACTAAATATATGTCAATAACAAAAAAATACATTTAAGAAAAAACTTTAATCAAATTTAAAAAAATAGTTTTCAAACTAATTATAACCGATATAACACATACGGCCGACTCATTGTATGGATTTCCCGCATAACAGTATTTGATGGTATTGTCAACATAGGTGAACACAATGGATCCCTGGCCAGCAATTTTACTACCATTTCCTTTACCCCAATCGTATCGACTAAATTGTCCAATAATTGTCATCAATTTTATATATTTATTGATCAGTTGTTCACGTTTTCCTTCGATAACAAACAATTCATTATCAGTTACATCGATATCTTGTGTCGGTTCAGATATTTCGGTAAAGTTATAGATCATTGTCCGACCGTTTTGGTCCCAAAATGTTACAAATGGTTTATAATAATATTTTGAAGTCCAGACAAATATTGGCTTAAAATCATAATCAAAATCTATTGTCGTATTTGTCATTATCGGTGGTGTTGTATAAACTTTCCAATTAATGGTTTTTATATTTTTCTAAATAATAATATTTAGTATAATAATAATAATGAAACTAATTTGTGATGTCTATCATCAAAATGGTTTGTTGTATACCTGCAAAGCACCGACATATATGTCTGTCCCTATAGAGAAAGTCCAGGCCATTGATGTATAACTATTACCGGCAAACCAGTTAATATCGACGATATCATTGCCATTACTTCTGCTGACATTATTAATGATAACCGATTTGCTGTCGTCTGTACCGTCATTGTAGGTCAACTCCCAACAGTTGTTACCGATTATGAAATATTTATGAATCCAGTTATCATCGACTGTTCTGTCCGACCGAAAGGCAAAATCAATTTTATAATCATTTTTCTTGTATTCTTCGCAGAAATCTTTCGGCTCATTGTTGTTGACGACCACCGATGAGATGGTTGTCATCGACATCGCCAACAATAACAACGACAACATTGCTATAAAATCAATGGATTTTTATAATACTATTTATATATACAATATAAGTATTATTTATGAATATTATGTAATTTTTATTATTATATTAAAAATACCAATTAATCAATTGATGACTTTTATTGTCGACTAATATTTACCACACAATTAGTAGTTTCCAAAAAATAACAAATTATACAAAAATAATATCAATAAATAACAAATTATACAAAAATAATATCAATAAATAACAAAACTTTATAATTAACTTATTGACAAATTTATAGTTTTGTTACATAATTATAGAAATAGTTATTTAAAAATTCAAATAACAATAATAAGTTGTGAATGACTTCGAAACTTATTGTTGTCATTAAATTTAGTCAATTTGTATGAAATATAATTGTTGTATATTTACATTTAATTTTCAATTATGTGTTTATTAATTAGATATATAAAAAAAATATATAATTTTCCAAAATATTGTATAATAAATTAATTAAAAAAATATAGACTATTTATTTATTATAAGTTTTAACTAAAGTAATTATGATAATAATAAGTAATAAGTTATTATAATATAATTTTATAGGAAAAAAACAATTGTTTTATATTATTTTGATTTATTTGTTTGTATCCATGTATTTATGTTTATAAATAAAAATATTTCCAATAAATTTATTTTATTATTATTTTATTTTTTTAGTTATAGTATACAATAAAAAAATCAAATTAATCAATCAATTTTTATTATTAAATATAATTAAATTAAATATCAATTTTTTAAATCAAATGTTTTATGAAATGAAACATTTATTTTTATTTAATAGAAATATAATATTAATAAAATAAATTAAAGTATTAGAGATTGTATTTATAATTGAAATTATTTATAAATATAATTAATAAAATATTAATAAATTTTAATAAATCAATTAAAATAATCATTTTGTTTCAAATGTCGGTACTATTGGTACTGGAGTTTTGTTTTTTTAAAAAATTAAAAATTTTCAATTAATTAGCTTTCGATGGATTCAAAACTGACTGTCCGTCCAATCTCTTGACAACCACTGACCGAGTCGTGGATTCACCAGTTTTTGATGGACTCATTACTGTCGACTGWCTGTCACTCCCAGTGGTCAACGATAGCCGTGATTTTGACACTCTGTCTGTCAATATTTTATCCAAAAAAAAAATTGTAGACAAATATTATACTACATTACACTACAGTATGTTTCAAAATAGTTACTATACACTACCTCCCTGTCCTTGTCTACAAATACAATAGAGTACTAATCCAGTCATTAGGATAACCAGTACGACAGCTATAACTAGTATACATGTAATCAACCAATAAATATCACCACCGATGCCGGTGTTTTCATCAGCAGTAGTAGTATTAGTTGTGGTATTTGTAGTGAAAGTTTTAGATAAACAGTCAATCAATGTTTTCAAGTGTTGAGGTTTACACTAAATATATGTCAACAACAAAATAATATATTAAATAAATTTTTTTTAAATAGTTTAAACTAATTATAATGATATGACTTACGGCCGACTCATTGTATGGATTTCCCGCATAACAGTATTTGATGGTATTGTTGACATATATGAATACAATGGATCCCTGGCCATAAATTTCACTATCATTTCCTTTACCCCAATCATATTGACTAAACTGTCCGATAATTGCCATCAATTTTATCACTTTATTGATCAGTTGTTCTCGTTTTCCTTCGATAACAAACAATTCATTATCAGTTACGTTGACATCATGTGTCGGTTCAGTTATATTAGCAAAGTTATAGATCATTGTCCGACCGTTTTGGTCCCAAAATGTTACCAATGGTTTGTAATAAAATTTTGAAGTCCAGACAAACATTGGCTTAAAATCATTATCAAAATCTATTGTTGTATTTGTCATTATGGGTGGTGTTGTATAAACTTTCCAATTAATGGTTTTTATATTTTTCTAAATAATAATATTTAGTATAATAATAATAATGAAACTAATTTGTGATGTCTATCATCAAAATGGGTTGTTGTATACCTGCAAAGCACCGACATATATGTCTGTCCCTATAGAGAAAGTCCAGGCCATTGACGTATAGCTATTACCGGCAAACCAGTTAATATCGACGATATCATTGCCATTACTACTGCTGACAGTATTAATGGTAACCGATTTGCTGTCGTCTGTACCGTCATTGTAGGTCAACTCCCAACAGTTGTTACCGATTATGAAATATTTATGAATCCAGTTATCATCGACTGTTCTGTCCGACCGAAAGGCAAAATCAATTTTATAATCATTTTTCTTGTATTCTTCGCAGAAATCTTTCGGCTCATTGTTGTTGACGACAACCGATGAGATGGTTGTCATCGACATCGCCATCAATAACACCAACAACGACAACATTGCTATAAAAATCAATGAATTGTTAGAATACTTCAAAATTTAATACCAATTAAACAATTGATGACTTATTTTGTCGACTAATATATTTACCACACAAGTAGTTGTTTTCGTAT